AATTAATTTGTTCCCTTGTTTTTGTTAAATCATGGAAACAAATTAGCACAACAATGCCATGACTTACCTAAAACGAGACAAAAAATTAAAGGGGTCATATGATGTGACTTCATGTTTTCCTTTGTCTTTGGAGTTTTAAAAGCTGTTCGTGCATACAGAAGATCTGTAAAGTCGCAAAGATTAAAGTCTTAAACCCAAAGAGATATTCTTTATAAAAGTGAACGCTCATCCACGCCTTCCTAAAACGCCTCATTCAGACACGCCCCCACATGTCTACGTCACTGTGTGTGAAGATTTGTATACGCAAAGAAAGGCGGCGTAACTTTTATTCTCACTGTAGTATTGTTGCTGCTGCCGCTGTCGTGGAGACTGTGTGTTATGTTGCGAAAGCTAAAATACTTTGTTTGTTAAAATACTAGAAATCAGTGGTTAGGTTTTATTTACAACAATGTTCAAGAACCATACAACCCAAATATTCGAGTGTGTGCAGCGCATTTTACGGAGGAAGGTTTCCTGAACCTGGTAAGGGGCGTAACATTTCCGTCACACGCTTGAGTTATTCAGCCAATGACAACGCACTAGATAGCTGGCCAATCAGAGCACACCACGGGGCATACAGGAGCAACAATAATGTACAGTTTGTGGAAAATAATGTGTTTTTTGAACCTTAAACCGCGTAAATACATTGCATTAAACCAAATACACAAAATAATGTTCTTTTTAGCAACGTCATAAGACCCCTTTAATAAAATGTGTCCACGATTTAACTAAAACAACAGAGCAAATTAAGAAAATGTGGCCACAATTTAATTAAAACAAGGAAACTAAATAATAAAATGTGGCCATTATTTAGAGTAAAACGAGGGAACACATCAATAAAAAATGGCCACAAAATAATAAACTGTGTGAAGGAATTCTTAATTCTTGGCCACAATATCTAGGTTTTTCTTTTCATGCATGTCATGTGGTGCTCCTCACCAATTTCCAACATCGGTGGAGATGAGATTTGAGAACTACAGTGTAATAAATTAAATAATAACTAATAAATAAATAAGTAATATATAAATAATAAGTTACTTTGATCTAAAACTATTCCTGTCTGTTCCTCATAAAATATTTGTATGGCTTTAAAAGTCTTGTAATTTAGCACATGAGATTTTAGGGCTTTGTTTTGTTTTTTGTTTTTTAATTTTAGGGTACCTTTTTGGACTTTTAGACATCATAAATGACCCTTTTCCAAACCTGGGCATTGTGCAAAACATCTTTTTGTGTTCTACAAACAAAAGTCATACAGGTTTGGAATAATATTAGGGTGAGTAAATTACGATGGAATTATTAAATAACCCCATAAACACGAGTTGTTGCTCCATGGTGATAAATCCTATTCTAATTTAAATTCTATTCTATCCTAATTCTAACTTCCACCAATATATTTTCACCTCTTATCATCTTTAATGGTCCAAGTGCTGGCCTCAGGATCTACAGGAGCGAACAGTTGCCCGTTCAGCAGTGGTGCATGATCTCCTACTCCAACACGTAGGCAGTCCACGGTGAGCTTGAAGCGGATGTCATCTTTAGTGGTGCCTTCAGGTAAACGCACACACACGGTCACATCCTCTTCTGTTTGCTGCCAGAAGTAGATGAGATCTGTGATCAGAACAATGGAAGAAGTGACACCGGATTCAAAGTAGACATTTACGAATGAATTTCACATGATTTGTTTGCTTAAATTAATAAATGGGTAAGAAACACTACAGGCAAAGATTAGATCCTGAGCAACCCTCTAAGCATTAAAACAACAACTGTAAAAATAAAAAGACTAGGCTGTATTTTGTCATGCAGCCCTGTATGTTCAATTCCATTGTCAATTCCTTCCGTAACATCATTCAACCATCATTGACCTGTGAGTAATAGAAAGTATGATGAGTTCGGAGAATTCTAGGTCACTGTGACACTACTGAAAAATATGACAAATTAAACCTGTATGTGCACAACAACCGGTGTAATTGTGTGGCTTTATTTAGCAATGGAAGGCCAAACTCTGTGTACCTATATAAGCCATTAGTGGAGTGAGAACATTAGTGGAGAAATAGGCCCTTTCTATGTGCTGTTGAGTTCCAATGGTGTAGTGATTGTATACTATATCAACAAACTGGTAACTGAATGGTTATAGGTTCAAACCCCCAACATGGATTTACCAATCACTATCATGTGCTTGAGCAAGGCAATAAATCTCAGGTTGCTCCAGGGGGACTGTAGTTAGTGCATCATACGTCACTTCAGGTAAAAGTATCAGCTAAATGATAAATTAGTAATTAGGCATGCTTGAAGATACACCAAGCAAACACACCTGTGGGTAAGGTAGATTTGTTTGGTTATAGCACCTCTGGTGGTGGTTTTAGGAATGAAATTACATTTATTTACACTTATTTATACGGTTTTAACCAGTAGGTAGGGCTGCCAGCAAATTTAAGAGGTATTCTTAGGGCAATGTGGCAAACCTTTGTGTCCTACAGTTCAAAAGTTTGGGGTCAGTAAGATTCTGTTGGAAAGAAATTAATACTTTTATTCAACAAGGATGAATTAAATTGATCAAAAGTGCCAGTAAAAACAAGTATAATGCTACAAGATAGATAGATATATATATACATTTCAAATAAATGCTGTTCTTTTGAACTTTTTATTCATCAAAATATCCTGAAAAAATTGTATCACAGTTTAAAAAATATTAAGCAGCACAACTGTTTTCAACACTGATAACGAATGTTTCTTAAGCACCAAATCAGCTTATTAGAATGATTTCTGAAGAATCATGTGACACTGAAGACTGGAGTAATGACTGCTGAAAATTCAGCTTTGCATCACAGGAATAATACATGTTAAAAATATATTAAAATAGAAACAGTTATTTTGAATTATAACAATATTCTACAATATTAATATTTTACTGTATTTTTGAACAAATAAATTCAGCCTTGGTGAGCATAAGAGACTTCTTTGAAAAACATATATATTTTTTTAAATCCTATGCATCTTTAAATTTATGCATCTTCATAAATCTGCATTTACCCTAATAAACAACCTCACAGATATTACAAAGTAAAAGGTGAATTCACGAATCAGTTGTGGCATTTTAGTGCAAAAAATGCATCTTATTCACCAATCACTGCAATAGTTAGCACTATTTAAATGAAGTCAATGTTATTCATTTCAGTACAAACATGTGGTTTAGTCAGTGATTAGAGTGCAGCATTTAATATAATTTTTTTGAAGACATGGTTATGTACATTATCTGGGTAACAGTGTGATCAATAGAAAATGTAGTCGAGCACACTTAGCATTTTAAAGAGCTGATTCAGGTGTCTGGATCACAGTTGATGGATTGATGCTGTAGCCTACAGTCTAAGTAAAGTTTGCCAGATCACGTTAGTCTATAGCATCTTAGAGTAGCACTTAGAACAGACCTGCAACATGGGGAATTGCATTATTCAAATTGCCTTTGGCACAGATTTTTAGTCGTGTTTCCCATTTTACCTAGCAAATCGGGTGATAAAGTTCAAGTGTAGCGCTAGTTCTGGCAGGTCATGTCAATCAAGCTCGCATCAGCTGACTCTCAGCTGATCCACGTCTACCTATAGGGATACGACGCCTATCACAGCATCCTTATATAAGGTCCTTCAGTATTTTAAGCAGCTTTCGCGTCGCTCAATAGCTAATTACCCTCCTCCATCCCCAGTTCCTCCTCTCGTCCAGTCAGGATTCTGCTTTCTGATTCCCCTTTGAATCAGACTAATTTCTAAAATGTGTACATCAAATTATTGAACATTAATGATATCTGCAATACATTTATGTTGGTTCTGTTTACCCTAGGGGTGGTTTATCGCTGCTCTCCCTTCTCTTATCCATGCTAAGCTGCATGGATGCACAGGGAGTTCTTGCCAATCCAAACAGTATGCTAATTGTCAATCATCTTTGACAACAGTGATCCAGACAGAACTACGAATAGAGCAAGTGCTAATATACAACACTACAAGCAAGCTCAAATTAATTCTTACTGAATTCCACACAAAAGTTTATGGCAGTTGATCTCTTAACCAGAAACTAAGGTAAAAAGAGAGGCGGATGAGGAAATAAAGGAGCTGAGACAACCAGAGAGGTCGAAGTCTCACCCACTCAGTCTTAGCTGTGCTGGCAAAACCTTATTAGTGAAATTGGAACAATTTTCTCAAGCCATAAAGCTGCTTTAGAGTGCAATGAGGAGTGAGAGCAGTACGCTCATTATCTTCTTTTGTTGCAGGTCTAGTCAACTTGCGGCCCAACAGGAATCTTGCTGAGCAAAACAGGATAATGAAGAGAAGGGCAATGATGTTCCGTGACACTGCTAAATCACTCTGACTCTGTGTACTGTATATATCATGGAAAACAGAATTTTGCTCTTTAGAGATTCAAGAATTTGATATACTATGTACAGGTACATCTCAAAAAATTTGAATATCATGAAAAAGGTCAATATTTTTTGTCACTCATTTCAGAAAGTGAAACCCATATATTATATAGATTCATTACACAGAGTGAAATATTTCAAGCCTTTATTTCTTGAAATTTTGATGATTATGGCTTACAGATAATGAAAACCCAAAATTCAGTGTCTCAGAAAATTAGAATATTGTGAAAAAGTTCAATATTGGAAAGTCATGGTGTCACACCCTAATCAGCTAATTACCTCAAAACACCTGCAAAGGTTTCCTGAGCCTTTAAATGGTCTCTCAGTCTGGGTCAGTAGGCTACACAATCATGGGGAAGACTGCTGACTTGACAGATGTCCAGAAGACAGTCATTGGCACCCTCCACAAGGAGGGTAAGCCACAAAAGTTCATTGCTAAAGAAGCTGGTTGTTCACAGAGTGCTGTATCCAAGCATATTCATAGAAAGTTGAGTGGATGGAAAAAGTGTGGTAGGAAACGTTGCACCAGCAAAAGGGATAACCGCAGCCTTGAGAGGATTGTCAGGCAAAATCCATTCAAGAATTTGGGGGAGCTTCACAAGGAGTGGACTGAGGCTGGCGTCAGCGCATCAAGAGCCACTACGCACAGACGAATCCTAGACATGGGCTACAAATGTCGCATTCCTCGTGTCAAGCCACTCCTGAACCAGAGACAACGTCAGAAGCGTCTTACCTGGGCTGTGGAGAAAAAGAACTGGACTGTTGCTCAGTGGTCCAAAGTCCTCTTTTCAGATGAAAGTAAATTTTGCATTTCATTTGGAAATCAAGGTCCCAGAGTCTGGAGGAAGAGTGGAGAGGCACAGAAACCATGTTGCTTGAAGTCCAGTGTGACGTTTCCACAGTCAGTGATGATTTGGGCTGCCATGTCATCTGCTGGTGTTGGTTCACTGTGTTTTCTGAAGTCCACAGTCAACGCAGCCATCTACCAGGAAATTTTAGAGCACTTCATGCTTCCTTCTGCTTACAAGCTTTATGGAGATGCTGATTTCATTTTCCAGCAGGACTTGGCACCTGCCCACACTGCCAAAGGTACCAAAAGCTGGTTCAATGACCATGGTGTTACTGTGCTTGATTGGCCAGCAAACTCGCCTGACCTGACCCCCATAGAGAATCTATGGAGGCCCAACCAAGTATTGAGTGCATAGAAATGAACATACTTTTCAGAAACCTGACATTTCTGTTTAAAATATCCTTTTTTTATTGATCTTATGTAATATTCTAATTTTCTGAGACACTGAATTTTGGGTTTTCATTATCTGTAAGCCATAATCATCAACATTTCAAGAAATAAAGGCTTGAAATATTTCACTCTGTGTAATGAATCTATATAATATATGGGTTTCACTTTCTGAAATGAGTGACAAAAAATATTGACCTTTTTCATGATATTCTAATTTTTTTAGATGTACCTGTAGACACGCTGCAAAACTTCCTCCCAAATCCACCCAGACCATTCATGGACATTAAACAGCAAAAATGTTTAGAAATGTTCATAGTTGTGACATTACAGCCAAAAGCACATGAGCACATGTACGCCTACATTTACAGTAGCAAAAGCAGACTTTTAATTTCTCAAGGAATAGAAATTGTGAAAATTATCATTTAAATTTAATTACAATAGTTTGGGGTGTAAAAAAAAAAAGACTAACATTATTAAGTGAGCATAAATATAAAATAATATAAATGTTTAAAATACAATTTGTTTATAGGATGACATCACAACCACGAGTAAATTAAAACATGTTTGCCCATATTTTCAACACATGACCAGTGAAGAGGTTATTTAATCACAATAAAGGTCATGTACAAAATAAAAGTCTTACATGTTTAATTCTAAGAAGTAAAGAGAGGGTAAAAATGGTCAAATAAACTAAATCAAGTCCATTTTGGGTAAAAAATTATAATAAAGAACTTCAGGAAAAAAAACAATGCTACAAAAATTTTAAATATGACCAAATGACAGGAATAATTCACTCTAAAAATAATTGGTCACAGAAAACTAAATCATGACCATTTTGGGTGCAAAAAAATTAATAAAGAATTTCAGAAGAAAAAAAAACAATGCTACAAAAATTTTAAATATAGCCAATTTACAGGAATAATTCACTCACAAATTAAATGGTCAAAGAAAACTAAAACATGACCATTTTGGGAAAAAAAATGAATACGATTATTAAAAGAACTTTACAAAATTGCTAAATATGGTCAATTTACAGGAATAATTCAGTCAAAAATTAAATACTCATAGAAAACTAAAAAAAAAAAAAAAAACTTCAGGAAAAAAAGCAATACACTACAGTGAAAATATGGACAATTTCTGTCATCATTTACTCACCCTCACAACATTCCAAGTTTTTTTTTTTTTTTTTTTTTTAATCAAAGCTGATCTTTTCTACACACACAACAAAGAAGATTGTCACTGTTTTCATTTATGTTCCATTTATGTTCATTTGTGTAAAAAGTTATACAGGTTTGAAATAACATGACAATGAATAAATGATGACAATTTTTATTTTTGGATGAACTATCCTTTTAAATATGTTGGATGTTTACTGCTCTGGAGTAAAGTGTTTCAAGCAGTGTGTGTGTGTGTGTGTGCTGTGCGTGTGTGTGTGTGAATTACATAATTATTGATATAAAATCGTATTGATTCTGTATCATCCAGAAAGACTTGTAATTCACGCTTCATTGATTTCCCCATCCCTCTCATAACAGTGTTCACCGTATAAGCTTTGGTTTGTTCATGTACCCTTAAATCAACACACTATCAACAGAATAACAATGTCTGGCGTGCGTGTGAGCATTAATAGTCTTTTGTGGCTAAGGAAGGTCGATCTCTCTTTCTGAAACAAGCTAATGCACCTCCATTTTATCCGCCTACCAGTGGAGTCTCTCAGAACTCTCAGCCTCTTAAAATGGGAGAGAGAAAGAGGAAGAGGATGAGCGGAGATCATATTTCACAGAAAAAAAGCTCAAAGGGTGTACAGGAAACAAGTGGCCTTTTAAAAGCTCCCTTTCTTGGTTTTCAGATGACTAATACAGCTGTTAGAGGAAAAACAGGAAATGAGAGAAAGAGGATAAGATGTAAGTTTAAGTATAAAGTATATTTTGGTTTCATAAGCTTATCGTTTGGTGATTTCGATCACTGACTGTTTTAGCTTTGCTAGAAAGGAAAAACGCAAACACTTCACTTCAAAATACTAATTTAAATGAGGAAATAAACAAATATTTGACTGAAAAGGACTCTTACGTCCAAGTCTGAGCGCCACTAATGAGGCAATATTTGCAATTAGCACTCCCTGACATAAAGAAAATGTCAAACACTAATGAAAATGACGCACTGATTAATTCAATATGCCAGACCAATTCCATCACGGACATAAACCGCTTTTAATGACAGAATCCAATATATATATATATAATAGCAAGAAAAACATGCTATTAATGAAGCTTCGTTTCGTCACATAGAAACACAACTTGATGTATTTTGTACCAATGTATCATGCAGCTGACCCATATTTACATAAAACTAACCAGCCTACTTTACATAAACGTCCTTGCCAAAAATAAAAAAATGAACCCAAATGATGACCGCTGCCGTGCAGAAGCACATGGTCATCTCTAGTCCTCATCAGAGTCTATTTGAATGATTCTTTCTGATGTTTCTATGGATACAGAAGCCTCTGAATCATTCTACGGAAATGCGCTTCAGCACTTGGGAGTTTCTAGGTTGATTGGTGACTACTTCAAATGTCTTTTCATGCAGGCTTTCAGAATTCTGTCGAAGTGCAACCTAGAGTGAAATTTTACTTTCAGGAAGTTCAGATGAATGTTCGGGACTATTTCAAATCACCCAACAAAAAGCCAATATTTTGGGCATGGTTTTGTCTAGCCGAATGAAATATGTTTACAACATGACCTACTGTTTGTCTGGCCGTTGGTTCTCACCATAGACTGTATAAAAACATGGACGTAGTGTCCGTGACGTCACCCATAGATTTCCGAAGAGCGTTTTTGAAGCTCAAAGTGGGCAGAGCGGGCCGTCGCCATCTTGGCAGCACGTCACCACGCGTCACTCCCGGATAATCGAAAATGGGCAAAGAGGCGGGAGCAGGTTGCTGAAACCACGCCCACCTAGCTTGACGGTGGTGACAGCAGCGGCAATCCACCTGTCACTCAAGTGGCCACGCCCTTAATTATGCAGAACTTTAAGGCTTAATATAATTTAAACGGATGAGTTATAAAAAAATTCACCCCCTTCACAGTTGTCATGAAGGGCAAAATTAGCTATATAGACCAAAATCATCTTTTGAACCAGGCTGTAAACATGTTTTTTCTGCTGTAAAGTTGG